TAGTATCAGTACAGAGGCAAGAGCACGGGACAGCCGTGTGCTCTGTATGAACAGACTGGTAAGACTACTGGGTGAGCCGCCACACCTACCCACGTAGATATGGTTTACTACCCTGAAGGTTGTTTGGGTGGGGCGGCAGTTTGTCAGGTGTTGGACAATATAACAAAGGCAATAATGTTAACAGCACATACATAGAATATACATGCATACATATGACCTACATAACTGAAACAACGGCGCTGTAGTAAGTTTTGGTGTAGAGGATGGCACAAGGTGAGGACGCAGGAATCAGTGGTTATGCCAATACAAGCGACCGCTCAGAAGCCTGACGTGATAGCCCCTGTGGCGACCTTATTCCAGCGTAGCGAGATGTGGTCCTGGATACGGACAGGCATGTCAGCCTTGGCGTTAACAGCTGATTGTCATACTCCTTTGCCACAGTTTGCCACTCGGGAGCGAAGTATCGCCAGTGAGCCGGCATTGCTGTCCGTAATGGACGGCCAAGGAGTATCTTCATAATCTAGGTTACCATCCTTCGTGATCAAATACTTCACTTGACATTAGCTTCAGCATGGCCTTTAGACTGTGGATAGTGTGGCGATGAGATGTAGTGGTTGACTCCCGATCGCTTGAGGAAGGACCGGAAGTCATGATTGGAGAACTGTGGTCCACTATCAGTGCGAAGGAGGACAGGAACACAAACATTCACGAAGAAGCTGAGCAGAAGCTTGATGGTGCTTCGTGAAGTCGCATCCATACTGTAAGTACCGACGTATGGTGTAAAGACCTGGGACTTAGGGATAGAAATCCCTTACCAGCCTAATCAGGATCTTATAATAGGAAAGTCAAGGACCATGGTTTTCTGAGGAATAACAAACAACCGTTTGAGATTGACATCTCTTTACCATAAAATTATCACACAAAACTCTGACACCACTCAATAAACATGAAAACAATTACGAGTCAAACAATTAATGCAGTCAACAGTTAATGGAAGTCCAATAATTAATGGAATCAAACAATTAATGGAATCAAACAATTAATGGGAGTCAACAACTGATAGAATCAAACAATGAAAGAATCAAACAATGAAAGGGAATCGGCAATTAAAGGAATCAAACAACAATAAAATCAAACAATGAACAGATATTTCCTACGACAGCGACCCTTGGGGAAGGTTCTGGAACGCAGTGATCCACTCTCAGGGGGATGGTCTTTTCAACTCCTCACTCGAGCGACAGCGGCCGATGTCTAGATATAGCAAGAGAACACCGGGGCACAGAAGGAGGAGATGAACTGACGGTCGTGGTATGGGGTAGATGTCCAGAGATTGACAGTCGATAGGTGAAGGTCTGGGGACACAGCCCACGAGTCCCGAGCCATTGATGAGATCACAGCCAGAATTTGACGAACAGCGGGGGAGGTAGTGACTGTACTGACGGCTGGAGTCAATCTGAGCCGGTGACACTGGTAGCAGCGACGTTCACACCTCCGTTCACCCCCCCCCTCCCCCCCCCTCCCCCCAAGTGGGGGATCGTGCCAGCAAACGAGCGAGTAAGCAGCGGTAATGAACAGGAAGATCGTTTCCGCCTTTACATGTGGTGGTCGCCCAGACTAGCGATCTGCAACGAGTAGATAGTCCTTTCCAGCGTGGGAGAAGAGGTCTACTGAGACATCTTCAAGTGGCAGGGTTGGGACCGGGTCACACATTAATGGCTTCTTGACCTGAGATGGCAACAGAGTCTGCCATGCGTCACAGGACTGGACAATGTTTACGATGACGCTTGCGATGCCAGTCCACCATAATGTCTGACGTGCTCGACGTTTTGTCGCTTCAATCCCCCCTGTGAGAGTCATGGAGACGAGCCAAGATTTGACGACGGATTGTGGTCGGAATTGCGATTCGTGCACCGTGAAGAACAAGGCCATCTTCTACGGCTAAACTGCCCCTGATCTTCCAGAAATCCCACATTACTGCTGGTACCTTCTTTCTGTCGGATGGGAGTCCCGAGGCAACGGTGTCATGAAGGAGGCAGTAAGCCTCATCTTGGGCAGCAGTGTTGTGGATTTCTTCGATGATGGGGTCACGCAAATGTTCAGAAGGTTGTGACGACACTTCCATTGCCATAGCCCTCACATAACTACAGATGTGGTTGGTCACCCCCGTTTCAGCCTCCAAATCAGACGGTGTCGGGTCTTCAACGGATGCACAGGCGAGCGCTTCTGGGATGCAGTGGTCCTTGCCCTTACGCCACCTTACAGTGAAGGAATACTGTGCTGTCTTCGCTTTCAGACGCAACAGTTGTGGGTTTTCCACAGTATACAGCGTGTAGTCGTTCAGGATGGGCACCAGAGGTTTGTTGTCAATGACTAAGTCGAAAATAGTGGTCCCATCAGGTAAAGGTGACACTTCCACAGAACCCAGACTGCTGCAGCGAGCTGCAGCTCCACCATGGCATCCTGGTCTCCACGCCACTAAGGAAACGAGAACCACACTGAACAAGCCTCCACGTCTCACCATAAAGCTACAGGAGGGTGTAACCAAGGCCCTTGAGACGTGAGGCGTCAGTTTGCAACATTGTGGGAAGTACGAGGTCGAAGTGGACGAGCAACGGTGGTGTTGATGGAGCCCGCTTCACTTTTTCGAAAAAAAATTTGAGGTCTGGGGTTATAAAAAATATTCTTCCTTTGGTTTCAAAATATAGCTCCATCGTGGTGGTCATCGGGCAGGGATGAGAGTACCACGGAAATCTCCCACGTTCCAATAACGAATCATACAGTTTTTTGTTTTGTTTTTAACCCTTAGTCCCGGGTTAGGGTGCTGCTGGCAGTAACCCCCTCCCCCCCCCTCCCCCGCTGGGATAAATTGAGAAAAAAATCAACTCTTCCAAAAATAATACTAGAAAAAAAAATAATAATAATAATAAATAAAAAAAATGGCTGGAAAATAGGAGGACGTTCTGGAACGTCACCCGGGGCCTAAGTGTTAAGCCCCGAGTGCTTCTTGCAAACCGACCATGGGTATACCACAGCATCGTGTACACCACTGAAGTTCTTGCAATTGGCCCAAGGACCCACCAAGTAGAGTGTTTCGAGTCAGTTTCTGTTGATTACTTTCATATGGATGGCCGTACCTATCTGGTGTATGTCGACCGTATGTCCGGGTGGCCATATGTGTCATCCTGTCCACGGACAGCATCAGTGCTTCATCATGTCAGTGTCCTGCGGTCTGTCTTCGTCTGTCTTCGCAGACAAGGGTGTGCCTGTCGTCATGAGGACCAATGGAGGTCCCTGTTCACGTTATCTGCGTGACGCCGCTTCCTGGCTCGGTGGGGGATGGAGCACCAGGTGACTTCGCTGTACAACCCTCGGGCCGACGGACACGCATAAGCTGCAGTCGAGACCGTGAAGAAGCTGATAATGTCGACAAGAAGGAAGGGACACCTGGACGAATACGAATTTGCCTGCGGATTATTGGAGCTGAGGAACACACCTTGCGCTGAAGTGAGTTCACCAGCGCATGTACTGTTTGGTTACCCCATGAGGTCGGCAGTACCTGCACACCATCGCGCATTTGTTCCAGATTAGCAACACGGCTGATGAATGCGACAACAGGCCCGAACACCTAGAAAGAAAGGCAAAATCACGGCACGACTCTACGGCACGATAGCTATCCCTGCTGCACTTTAGTGACTACGTCGACGTGCAGGACCATGTGAGCAATCAATGGGACCGCTTAGGTGTTGTCGTGGGTCTAGGATCTCACTGGGACTAGCTTGTTAAAATGCGAAGTGGCCGCGTCCTGTGGAGGAACAGGAAGTTCTTCCGTCCCCATTGTCCGATGATGCCGGAGAGCGTCTTGGAGTCTACATTTGCTGCGAAGGCTCCAGTGGAACCAAAGAGCATCCAGGGTAAAACACCAGGCCCACCGCCATGTGTAGATTCAGAGGAACATCCAGGCCCGCAACTCCTACCACGCCTTAGTGGCCGCCAGCGGCGATGAAATGAAGAAATGATTGGGTCCTCAAGTCGGCCCCAATGTGTTCCGGGAGGTGTGTGGTGTTTATGTAACGCGATCGAGCACGAGTGAGTGAACCACTGTGTGGCGTGAATGAGCGTGTGCACGAGTGCTGCTACCTAGTGGTGTGAACAAAAGTTGGTTGTGGGTTGAATGTCCGATTAGATAGATGACATGGCACAAGGTTTCGTGAGTCTTGTAGGTTACACGGTAAAGGCGATTGTATTTTACTGCACCACTGTGTGAACCTCTCCCAGTAAATTCCATAGGAGAAGGCTGTGTTTTTTGAGCCGTTGGCACCGAGTAGCATTTGAACAGGTGTTTCATCCTCAAAGGGGTAAGGTCTAGACACCTGGCGTTAGTAATAGTTTGAGATGTGTTTAACTAGCTGAGAGCGTGGAGTACCCTGATGTGGCAATGCAGCGCCATAGTCAGGACTGAATACAAGGGAGTGAAACAGGGAAACTGTCCTGTTTGTGATAAGATAAAAACAGTGAAGGAGGTAAAAAGATAAATGAACAATGTAATAAGTTATGTTTTATGGAGCAATGATGTGTAGCCATCACTAAGGTCTCGTTCAAACGTGACTTTTGTGTAGAAATTCATCTTTATTTTACACGTTTTTGTTTATTCACCGTGATGAAGTATATCCAGGAAAATATTAACCATTTTATATAAAGTCATAAAATAAAAAGAATATAATGGGGCAACAACCTTGAAGTTTACACACACAAAGTGGAACAAATATATAACTAAATATATATATATAAATATATTTATATAGAGATAGATGTATTTTGTTGACTATAAATTACAGCCGTGAGTACCTTTTGGGTACCCCCGAGATAATTTGAGCCATTAGCCATCAGTTTGCTTCTACCACCAATCATCATTGGTGTTGCTTTTGTTTAGTAAAGTCAATAAAGTTGGTTGGTCAGTGGCCAGGTAGGTGGACACCGGGTGAGTCAAGGTTTCAACTGACCATTCTTACAAGTGGCGGCGCTGAGGTCAGTCTAGTGCTCCTCTCTTACCACTACTTCTCCTCAACCCCAGCCAACAGGTGACTACTCTTTGACTTGTGTTGTGACGGAAGGTTTATAGTGTGAGCTGTCTGTCCATTGTTCTTGAGTTATAATCTCTGTTATGGATATCCGGTGTGAACCAATGGTGTGGTATAATAACACAGTTCTTTCTCTCATAACCTTTGTTGTTGAAGCGCAATAATATTATAACATCAAATTGTATAACCGTAGCCACACCTGGCTCACCAACACCCACACCATACTCGGATATGTACAGAACCCGTCCTCTCTCAGCCTGTGTTTGATAGGTGACGCCAGGCTCGCGTGACTCTCATACTGGGTTGTACTTTGCAAGATTAGTTTTGCTATGAATCACACTGGCGGGCACTCTCTCTTGTGTACCTTTCCTTGTCCGGCACATAACAAAAGTATATATATATATATTTTTTCACATTCCATATTAATTCTCTTTTGTTTTAGTCAAATCATTTTCCTAGATTATATTTCATGTGGTATAGGAACTAAAATTCTATAAATTCTATTTTTTTGTGTAGATCTCATATTAAGTTTCTTTCTTTGCTTGGTAATTCTATATGTGCTTTTGCCACTAAGATAATTTTAGCACTTATCAATCAATCATAGTAACGTCCTCATATCTGAGACTTACCGACCAAAACCTCGAGTCTCAGCGTCTTCAGGATGCCTTAACCAATCCTCCAAGATTTTTTCTCCTCTCTGGAGACTCAGTTTTTTATTTCATTAATCTATGCCAGTCTGTGCCTTCCTCTGGCCCTCTTACGTTCAACTCTGCCCATAAATATTTATGTATATCATCTCCTCATCCCTAATTATATGACCAAAGTATCTCACTTTTCATTTTCTGTATATTTCAAACATTTATCTTGAAATTTTTACTAATCTTAGTTTCTGCCTTGTTATTACGTTATTACTTTGCTGCCTCATTAACTCTTTCCAGGGTTGGTAGTTTCTTGCCTCCTGTGGAAAGTTTCTCGTGTATTTCCACCGAGAAATCGTGATTTATAATTATTGCCTTGGCTACTGGTTACAGGGAGAGCCATAACATCATCATATACCCGGATGGTGGGCTTCTGTACTAACTCATTGTTGAACGCGCTTGTCATCAGGTGTATGTCACGGATTTATCTGTATAATTTACGTAATCCATGATTCACTTTTATAATTATATAAATAATGGCGATGATTTATTACTATCAAGAATAATTCTCTGATGAGCGTAGGTGGACATCAGTTGATTTCACCGGGATGGGACGAGTTAACTTTCTCGTAAATCACGTTAATCCAGGTGGATTAGTTTATTTAAATAAACTAAGATTACATTACTATTGTATTATAAATACTAATTTTGAAACAACACTGAGTCTGTCAACGTAAATTATAAACTTTATAATGTGAATGACAATATGTCACGTAGTGACATTATTTTTACGGGCTGTTGCTCGAGTCGGATGCTAGAGCCACTTGCACCACCGTGACGACTAGACCTACCGAGAAAGGACAATTCAGTTTGTTTTATTACATTACCATAAGTTTATATGAGAGTAGCTGCAACACAACACTGGCTGAACCTCATTAGAACTTCAATAAGTATTCACAACCCTTTACTGCTGGTATCAGCTAAGTATGTGGTAGTTCTCTGAGAGAAAGGTAGACGAGGTAGGAGTAGGACTGGGGAGAAGTAAGCCTCCATTGACAATGTAATTTAACCAGTTTAATTTTCAACACCTCCACTCTATCATTATCACTGTGTACTTCTTCTATGTACTCTGCCCATCTCTCTTTTACTTCTGCCTCGAACAGGATCTTATTGTCTTTGCTTTTAATGATCCCACTGCATGTATTTCACTTTTTCGTGGTTCATTTGTTTAATCCTTCATTACATTTCCCTCCAGTTATGTCATCTGTTACCTTAAATCTCATCACATTTCCTTTTTATATCATTTTCCTTTGCCTGTGATCCACTTACTTATTAGTCTCTTTCCTCCTATGTCCTATAAGTTTCTCCCAAATTCATAAAATTGATTATAAAATAGGTTGTGAACAACCTTGGTAATTTAATCACCTAATAGCACTGGGACCCAAAAGGGATAGACGAACTAAGACTGTGACCTGATAGGGATGGGAGCATCTTAGGATAATAACAACAAAAACAACAACAACGATAATAATAATAATAATAATAATAATAATAATGGTATTTGTCAGCAGGACGACGATGGCGGGAACTGTGATGAAAGTGATGGCGTTGATGTTGTCCAACTTCCTGGTCACCAGTGCTGTGATAACAACCATAAAAGTGTACAAGGTGACGATCCACTCTATTCTTATTTCTTTTTAAATATTTCGTACATAAATTAACAGTAAAATATATTCAAGTGTTAATAAATGAGGTCAAATCAACCTTAAGCACAATAACGATAAGAAGAATAAAGTTCAGTTTATGTATCACTAAGACCTTTAGATAAGTGATCCCTCGAGGTATAAGGAAGAATAAACACCGTACCATATTTCGTTAATGTCCCCCATTTTCTCTCCCCAGGTGGCGTCGTCACATAATGATCCATTTCCTATCTGTACAATAAGAGTTGTAGAGATACAGGGTATTTCAAGGACGTCTTGTGCTATAAAATGTCTTGAGGAACCTCTGTGTAGGGCCTTCTGTGTTAAAGGTAAGAAGCCCTTAAACTAATTAAAGGTATGAAGCCCTCAATATTATGGTCCAAGTACTCCACTAGAGACGTTACGCCAATCAAATCACCTGAGGGCTGTATTCAAGAACAGTCATCGGGTGTACGACGGCATTTACGATGACCTTCTTCCCCTGATCTTGTTTCAGGAATACCACCTTTCGAAGCTCTGGAGAGATCTCGAAGTTTCGATATTTTGAGTACTACTAGCTAATAATTCCCACTAGGAAACTTGCTTCGAGACTCTTCCAAAGCTTCGAAAACTTCAGAGTTCCATGTGTTAAAGGCGATATTACTGAAAAAATAGATCAGGGAAAGAAGGTCATCGTAAATGGCGTCGTACACCCCACAACAGTTCTTGAATATGGCCTGCCGTTAATGCTCACTCGCTGTTTCCTGTCCTGTAACCACGCCCTAATCCATTTTAGAATATCTCCTCCAATGCCATGAGCCTCCTCTTTTCTTATTAGTCTTCCGTGTGGGACTCTGTCGAAGGCTTTACTAAAGTCAAGATATACCACAACATAATCGTGCCCCTCGTCCACTGATTCGAAAACAGCTGAAAAGAATGTTAATAGATTATTTAGACATGAACGCCCGCTTGTGAAGCCATGTTGGGAATCATTGATCAGCTTGTGTTTCTCCAGGTGAGTTCGAATGGAGCTTGAAATTATTGCTTCCAGTAATTTGCCTACAATTGGAGTTAAACTGATTGGACAGTAGTTAGAGGATAGTGATCTATCTCCCTTCTTGAAAATCGGTATCACATTCGCTATCCTCCAGGATTCTGGTACTACCCCCATTTTTAAGGACATGTTAAACATCTTTGCTTAGGGCATACTAAGCTCTTCCTTACATTCCTTTAATACTCTGGCAAATATCTCATCGGGACCTGGTGACTTATTAGCTTGTCTATTTTCTTACTAATATCGTTACTATTCACTGCTATCTCGCTTAATCTATTTTCTTTACTATCTCTGTATATAGTCGGTGCCTCTGATATTATGTTTAAATTATCAGTGGTGAAAACTGTTGAAAAATATCTATTCAGATTGTTGTTCATTTCTCCGTCGTTATCAGTTAGCTCGCCAGTGTCTCACTGTATTGGTCCAATCTTTTCTAGTGTTTTAGTTTGATACATTTGAAAGAATCCCTTGGGGTTTGACTTCGCCTCCCTTGCTACCTTCAGGTCATTATTCCTCTTTGTATTCTTATCTCGGTCTTAACCCTACTGGCCAATACCTTATAATAATCTCAGAGGTAAACCTCACCACGATTTATTCTCCTACCTATAGCCTTCCTTTGTCCAATAATATTCTTTAAATAATTATTTATCCATTTAGGTTCATTGTCGTCTACTCTGAGTTTTCTGTATGGTATGTTCTGCCTTTGTGCATGAAGTAACTCATTATTTAAATTGCTGTGGAACTCGTCAACCTCAGATCTTGTGATCAGGTCATCCGTTACCGTCATATTTTGTGAGGTTATCGTTGTCAGGTCTCCAGGTAAAGTGAGGTCGACCTCTATGGGTACATTGAGTGAGCTCATGTAATCCATCTCCAAACGTCATACCCATGACATGACATGAAATGCTAGTGACAGGGGGGAAGGAGGTTCAGGGGAAGAATAAAGGGAGGATTGAAGTGAATTTTAGGAGGAGAGAATAGGTGCAGTGGCTCAACACCGCTTGCGTGAGGGAGTATAAGTTGGAGGCAGCAGCAACTCGCCCGGACGCGGCTAGGAGGCGGCAGAACAGAGTCAGGTTAGCGTCAGGTCAAGCGTCAGGTGCGTGTTGGGTTGGGCCATGGTTTCTCAGTGCTTGGTCGGCTTGATTGTGTATGTTGTTTTCTTGTGTGGAGGAAATGTCTTGGTCTTCTGTCTTGGTATTCTCCATAGCTTGATGTAGATTTTCTTCTAACTCTCCTCGTCTTCTTGCTCTCTTGAAGTGTCCATTCATTCGTGTTTGGACCTTGTTGTTCGTCTTCCTCGTGTCTTATGTCCTCATAGGTGTGGAAGAAGTCGGAGACGGTGAGGCTGACCACGTGGGCTTCAGCTCCACGGGCCTCGTGGTGTTCTTCATTCTGTGTGGCGGGTGTCTTTTCTTGTGTTTTCTTTTCTTGGGTTTTCTTTACTTGGTTTATCTTTTTTGCTGGTTTTTTCTTGTCTTGGGAGCGTACAGCAAGGAGGGCCTCTTTGTAGCTCAGTTTCTTGTCGAGTCGAGCCTTGGCTATCCTGCATTCCTCCTTCCATTTCGGGCAGGTCCGGTCGGCGGAGGAGTGTGGGCCGCCACAGGCAGCGCATTTTTTTACTGTGTTGGGGCAGACCGTGTAGCGGTGTCCGGGGCTGCCGCACAGGGAGCAGGTGTCCTCCTGCGCCCCACACTTGTTGACAGTGTGTCCGTAGTGCTGGCATTTGTAACAGCGTTTCGGTCTGCAGTAGGGCTTGACTGGCACAGTTACCCACGCCAGTTGAGCCTCCTTGGGTAAGGTTGTATGGTGTCCGATGAGGGCAGAGGTGCCGGACAGCTTCTTCACAACTTGGAGTTGCCCCTTGAGGAGCTCACTCAGCTCTGCTTGGTCCATGTGGGCAATTTGGGTGTGGGAGATTACTCCCAGCTTCAGGTTGTCCCACTTGTAGGCAATCATTTTAAATGGAATGCCGTTGATGTCTGGGATCTCCGCGAGCTGTACAGGCATACCCTTCTCAGCGAAGGTGATCTTGATGTCACCATGGAGCTTCAGTCGTTCCACCTTGGTGACCCCCACGATCTCATCAGTTTCAAAGAACTTCTTGAGAACTAGGAGGTTTAATTTCTTGGGGCAGGTCGGCGTATCCGGACGTATCCGCGCCACGTTGCCTTTTCAACCTATCAAAGTTTGCCCTTCTGAAATCTGGGACTTTAATGGAATTTTTCCTTGCGACTGCCATTAAATTCGAATTGGAATCTTTTTTCTTTGTGATCGCTGTTAGCAAGTTCTTCCCCTACCTCGACATTACTAATGAGGTTTTCTCTGTTTGACAAAACTAAATCGAGTATAATATTACCCAAAGTGGGTTCGGCTATATGTTGACTTAGGAAACAGTCCTGAACTGTTTCAAGAAAATCCTCTGATTCTGAGTTACCAGTAAGGTTGATCCACTCTATATGGCTAAAGTTACAGTCGCCTACTATACAGCCTTTGCTATGCCTGGATGCCCTGCGCATTTCATCCCAAATAAGTCGCTCATTAACTCTATCAAGATTAGGAGGTCTGTATATTACTCCTGCGATTAATTTTTCCCTACCATCGAATAATTATATCCAAATTGTTTCTGTATTCAGTTCACTTTTTATTTCCTTATTTATTTCACACTTCAGATTATCCCTGACAAAGATTGCTACTCCGCCTCCTTTCCTAATCTGCCTATCGGTATGGAATAATTTGTAAGCTGCAATTTTGTATTCGACAGGTAACTCTCGTGAGTAGGTTGATCCATGTTTCAGGGAATGCTATTATATCGATTTTTTCGGTATATACCAACGCCCTGATTTCATCCATTTTGTTTCACATACTTCTACTGTTTGTGTAGTAGACATTTAAGTTAGTCGTGGTCTGAGTCCTCTCTTTGTCGCGTTTAGGTTTTAACTCCCTGCCTAATTTAGTTTTGTCATCATTCCTTGCACTATTTCCCTGTAATCTTTCACTTTGCTTACCCGCTCCCACTGCAGTCTCCTTCACCTCCGTGCCCATATGTTCCCCAAGCAGTTTAAAAACTTTGACATCTCGAGAGAGCCAGCCAGGGTTGCCACCCCATCCCTAGCATAAAGGTCCCTTCTGCCATAAAAGTTGTCCCAGTTGTCAATGAATGGGACTGATATTGACTTGCAATATCTGTCAAGACGGCTGTTGACACCAACTGCCTTGACAACCATTCATTACCAATTCTCTTTCCAGGCAGGACACCACATATGATAGGGATCCCTCTCTTCATCCTAATACGTTCTATAGCTGTCTTGAACTTATCAAGAAGCTCCTCACTCCTACAACGGCCAATATCATTCCCTCCTGCACTAAGGCAGATAATGGGTTTGGTCCCATTACCAGACAAGATATTGTCCATCCTGTCAACTATATCCCCCACTCAAGCTCCTGGCAAACAACCACTCGTCATATTTTTCCCACAAAAAGCTCTATCCAGGTACCGTACCTGAGAATCGCCAACAATTAAGGTTTTCATACCTTCCCTCTCAGCCTCTGTCCCTGACTATGCTAACGTCCAATTAGTTTATCAAAGGACTAAAACAGTTTTTGCACTTAGCTGTTGTCGTGACCTTGGTGTCTTTTCTCACTACTATTTTGGTCGTTCTTCTCCTCACAACCTTCCATTCGCCTGAGTTTTCGTCAGACACAGGCTTTCCTTGTCTCGTGTCTTCTTCCTTCATCCTCGCTATCACTTCCTTTAATTTCAGGTTTTCTTCTTTGGCCTTCACTAACTCTGCCAGTAGCTCGGCCCTCAGCCCTGTTCACAAGTAGAACTAGCCATTACTGAGTAGCACTAGCTCATTATACCATCATCCTACAGGCGAAGTTTAACACAGGCAAGAACTCAGCCGTAGGGGTGTAAGATCACTACACATGCGTAGAGAATCTTTCCATACTTTCTCTACTTTAGTTTTGTGATATTAAGCCAGAATATGTGTCGAGGTCACGTGATTTTTGTAGCTTTAAAGTTTTTATGGACAAAAATTTTTAGTCTTTGCTGTGTATCAATGCCTTGTTTTTTGGAGTAAATTTTGTCATGTTCAGAGGAAATACAGGAAAATTCAGCTAAGACAAATATTACCCGCCATAACGCCTACACGACAGTTTCTCGCTAACCAGGAGTGCCTGAGAAGCCTGAGGCATGAACCAATCACAGTGGTCTTTGAGTGCCACTTCATAGGCCTAACTGTGCTGATTGGCTGGAAGCTGAGTTCATGCCCCAGCAAGAGGGCACTCGGTTTTCAAACAGAGAGTCTGGTTAGCAGTGGTTAAATGTAGACGTGGTTGTGGTTGGCAGTTCTTTAGCATGGCAATATATATTATCTAAATGAGTACCCTTAAGTTTTTATCCATTTCACGAAATATATTGTGATTCATGTAACCCCTGCTTAACTAGGTAGTAGAATAGGTCTATTGTTTTGAAGTATAATTGTCAATCTTAATATACAAAGAACCGCTAAGCAATGTCATAAATTCCTCCCTTCTTGTTATTGAGTAAAACATTCGTCATACATGTCTTTGATGTTATACAGTAATACAGTGACCAATAAGTAATAACATAACCATACCCAGTGTCCTCTAGTGTCTCAGTTATCTCAGGTTACTCCTATTCCTAATTAGTCCCTACCTCCTGAGTCACCCCTCATCCTCCCCTCCCTCAGTGTGGTTGAAGGTTGACCATAAGGTGTGACTTCCTGCACCCCTCCCTTCTCACATTCCATAGCTCCTCATACACCACTGTGATTGGTTCATGCCTCAGGCTTCTCAGGCACTCCTGGTTAGCGAGAAACTGTCGTGTAGGCGTTATGGCGGGTAATATTTGTCTTAGCTGAATTTTCCTGTATTTCCTCTAAAATGACACAATTTACTCCCCAAAAACATGGCATTCTTATAGCTGAAGTCATTCTAACATCATCAGTTGAGAGGAATAGTCATCTTAGTTCATGTCATTATTATCTTTCAGGCGCCTCGTGTCACATCAACGGAGGCCACCTGGATGGTCACTGGCCTGGAGCAGCTGTAGATCACCCACACTATAAAAAGATTTTTACCTATGATTACTGTTATGCCATCCTTGATGACGGAGATGTAACTTCCCATATTGTGGACACCTCGTCCTCCACTTTTCACACCCAAAATTTATATCCAGAATTAGTTGTAAATGGGTTTTACTGTCACATTCCGCAGTACCATGGTCCTTTTCATTACTGTTTTATGACGGGCACTAGTGAGTCCTTGGGGTATTGGCGGGCCACTCTAGACTCCCCACAAACTATCAGCACAATCAATGTATGGACGCGTGGTGACGGTTATGCTAAAAAGCTTTTTCATAATGTAGAGATAACTTTTGGTACCTCCAGCGACTTCAACAACCCCGTCTTTGACTCTTACCCAAACGCGGCATTATTTACTGGTGAGATGATCACATTCAACGCCACTAGCCCGGTGACTGGTCGGTACCTGGAGGTGAGGGATTTATCTCCCAGTGATGCCTTATGCTTCTGCAATATCCAGCTGCTCCAGTAAACACTGTCATGCCTTTTGACTCACCTGCAGTTTACTTCATTTACAGGTGAACTTTAGTCACCTTAAGAGCAGAGTTGGTACAAGATAAATTTGACTCAAGGATCAAAGTGTTGTGTTTTCTCCACTATGTTTGGTTCCATGAGTCACGTTGTCTGTGACTGAAGGATCACGTGTAAGACTGTTCTTGACAACTTTTACCCATAATACACAAAACTTAAGAATAAGTAGAAGGATATTAATTATGTATGTGAACATTCAGAGGCTAAAATGGCCGTCCAGTCTATGATGGTGAATGTGAATTAAAGGAACTGACGTGAAGCTCCTTATACTGTTGCTGATGTTTGTGTGTTGACATTTATATCTCCCCGACACACCTGAATTATTGTACAGGTTCACTGTAAGTTCAGGGGTTCTCACATGACACTCATACTTAGGCCTGCTGTATACACGCGTTATAAACGTCTTCTTAACACACACACAGTTTGGTGTCAACTCTGAACCCCTTAGATTGACCACTTAAAATAAGTTGGAAATTACTACAAGAGAAATTTCCGTCATTTATATTTATTAAATGCTAAGAAGACCTTGATGTGAGTTAATGAATGTAAATAATTTACCACACTGATAGAAAGAACGGTAACACTTTATCTTTAAAATGTGTTAATGTTTGGTATAAACAGCGGGGCTGCAGTGCACGACTGTGTCAGTTTTGATCAAATCCTTATCCTCGTCAGGGTAGATCGATCTAACCTCACTTGTACTACACACAGTTCCTACTGAAGCATTACTGTTGATGTTAATTAGGGAGAAGTGTGAACGCTATATAACCAACACTTGTTTTACTGTTCCATGGACTGCAGCAGCTGCTTAATGCACGTCAAACGCTCAACATATAACAGTCAAAACATTATTATCTCTCCCTTGACCTTCAATGGTATGTACCTAAAGTCTGTCACGCTCGACGGCTGCTCTCTCCACTTTGTTGACATCTTCACCTGTCTGGGTCACATAACACCACAGTAATTGTTTATGTGTATCGTAGACATGAGGCTGGAAGTGTTTGTCCAGCTTGACGAGTAATTTTAACATATATTTATGTATTGTTCATCAGCCGACTATTTGGGATATTTTCATAAGTTAAGAATTAGGGTCTTGGCTCATACAAATAAAATATTTCTACGAGTTGATATCCATCAATGGTAGAGAGTCAGCGTTATCTTACAACACGGAAATATTTTCCCACTAAGTACGAGAATACACCTGTTAGCTGTCTTGTTTCATGGCACTTGTCAGCCGTCTTGTGTCTTGACAACCTGTCAGCCGTCTTGCTTCAGAGCACCTGTCTACCCTCTTATGTCACGGAACCTGTTAGCCCTCTTCTCTCAGGCCTATTAAGTCATGGAACAACTATAAAAACATTGTACATGTCAACAGATCTATGACCTGTATCAATAGAGTAATCAGCGGGTCCGATAATGCAGCAAATACTAAAGTTTGTTATGTGAAAGACGGGGCAGAGGGACACTTCATCACTCACAACATGACCTTCTGCACCTGGAAGAAAGATTTCATCTTCAACAACTAAAACAAACAGCGTTTTATTAACAAGTTCTCCCAAAAGATTTTAACGTGTGTTAGGCAATATAGATTAAGTTAAGACTGAATCAAGGTTCGAGTTATGTGAAGGACGATTCCATTTATAGTTTAATTTCTTCGTTACTGTAAGAGTGTTGTGATTATTGTTGGTTGTAAGTTTATGAAGCACTCGTGGAGTGTGTGTGGTAGGTGGTGTCGTTCCCTATCTGGGACCCACGAGTCAGTGACAGCTGGGAGGGACAGCTGGGTGTGTATTGTACACCTCCGGTTCGCGTAGTGTAATGGAGTCTTTCCCCGCCTCATGGTTTATTCACTGTCCACCGTCGTCCAGTTATTCATGCTAACTTCTTGATCACAAGATGATAACATGGTCTTAATTTTTTTTAAAGAATTTTATATCAAGTTCATTTACAGAATTCCCCCAGGATTTGTTTTTATTGCAACTTGTTAAACGTTTCGTGGTGGTTTTGCCCTAATTAAATATTAAGAAATGCCTAAATTGTGTGATTATCCTTCGTTTATGACTGTGTGTGTGTCCTGTGGTAAATACATTGTGGTGACGTGTTGTTGGGCAAGGATGTGAAATTAATTAAGTTTCAGAAATGAAAAATTATTACATCCTTTTAAAAGGACATATAAATACACTGAAAAGTAAAAGTGGATCTCATAGGCATGACTACCCGGTACTAACAGTGTGGATACAGCACACTGTATGCTAAGCCTTCAGTACAGAAGCAAGCAGCATGGCTGGTACTGCACCCCACGGCATTCACTTCCCCAAGTTGTAAACTTAGCTACCCATTTACAGCTGGGTGAACTAGGAGCGCCCGGGAGTCTATAAATCGACCTCAAGAACATGAGCCAAGCTCTGTATCACTCGACCTCCGCGCTTCTCTTAAATACACTAAATACTGATTTTTTTTTTAGTTGATGAGAAAATCCTTGAGTACAATAACTTAATTCGTCGTCTTTGAGGGGTTTAGTTGTGGTCCTTAAGGGAACAATTATCGTTCTCAAGGGACTTTTTTAGTGCTCAAGTAATAAGTGTTTGTGCTTGAAAGGTTAGTTGTCGTTCTCGAGTGTTATGTTACAGTACTACAAGGGTTAAGTTTTAGTTCTATAAGAGTAAAGCTTTAGTGTTGAAGGGGTTAAGTTACCTACTCAAGGGGCTAAGTTCTAGCCCTCAAGGGATTAAGTGAATAGGATATTGCAGAAATGAGAAGAGAAGCAATAAGACAATTAGGTCACTGGAGTTTACTGAAGTAGTATCAGTACAGAGGCAAGAGCACGGGACAGCCGTGTGCTCTGTATGAACAGACTGGTAAGACTACTGGGTGAGCCGCCACACCTACCCACGTAGATATGGTTTACTACCCTGAAGGTTGTTTGGGTGGGGCGGCAGTTTGTCAGGTGTTGGACAATATAACAAAGACAATAATGTTAACAGCACATACATAGAATATACATGCATACAAATGGACCTACATAACTGAAACAACAGCGCTGTAGTAAGTTTTGGTGTAGAGGATGGCACAAGGTGAGGACGCAGGAATCAGTGGTTATGCCAATACAAGCGACAGCTTAGAAACCTGACGTGATAGCCCCTGTGGCGACCTTATTCCAGCGTAGCGAGATGTGGTCCTGGATACGGACAGGCATGTCAGCCTTGGCGTTAACAGCTGATTGTCATACTCCTTTGCCACAGTTTGCCACTCGGGAGCGAAGTATCGCCAGTGAGCCGGCATTGCTGTCCGTAATGGTCGGCCAAGGAGTATCTTCATAATCTAGGTTACCATCCTTCGTGATCAAATACTTCACTTGACATTAGCTTCAGCATGGCCTTTAGACTGTGGATAGTGTGGCGATGAGATGTAGTGGTTGACTCCCGATCGCTTGAGGAAGGACCGGAAGTCATGATTGGAGAACTGTGGTCCACTATCAGTGCGAAGGAGGACAGGAGCACAAACATTCACGAAGAAGCTGAGCAGAAGCTTGATGGTGCTTCGTGAAGTCGCATGCATACCGTAAGTACCGACGTGTGGTGGTCACCCAGACTAGCGATCTGCATAGAGTAGATATTCCTTTCCAGCGTGGGAGAAGAGGTCTTCTGAGACATCTTCAAGTGGCAGGGTTGGGACCGGGTCACACATTAATGGCTTCTTGACCTGAGATGGCAACAGAGTCTTCCATGCGTCATAAGCATGGACAATGTTTACGATGACGCTTGCGATGCCAGTCCACCATAATGTCTGACGTGCTCAACGTATTGCCGCTTCAATCCCCCCTGTGAGAGTCAAGGAGACGAGCCAAAATCTGACGACGGATTGTGATCGGAATTGCGATTCGTGCACCGTGAAGAACAAGGCCATCTTCTACGGCTGAACTGCCCCTGATCTTCCAGAAATCCCACATTACTGCTGGTACCTTCTTTCAGTCGGATAGAAATACTGAGGCAACGGTCTCATGAAGGAGGCAGTAAACCTCATCTCGAGCAGCAGTAGCGTGAATTTCTTCGATGATGGGGTCACGCAAATGTTGAGAAGGTTACAGCGACACTTCCATTGCCATAGCCCTCACATAACTACAAATGTGGTTGGTCACCCCCGTTTCAGCCTCCAAATCAGACGGTGTCGGGTCTTCAACGGGTACACAGTGAATGAATACTGTGCTGTTTTCGCTTTCAGACACTGCAGTCGTGGGTTTTCCACAGGATCCAGCGTGTAGTTGTTCAGGATGGGCACCAAAGGCTTGTTGACGAAACAACAGACATTAGTACGATGAAAGCATCCTCTGTTCTTGTAAGATTTTGGGATTCAACCTCAAACAGCATTAATTCTTGGTTATTAGAGGTGATCAATGTATACGGTGATGAATCATCTACAGGGTCAACAGGGTAATATTTGTATAATTTGATTATGAAACATTAGAAACACACCGAATTTCACATGAGAACCTGATTGGCTTTGCTGCTGACGGCGCAAGTAACATTATGAGGGAACACAATTCTGTAAGCAGCAGGCTACGTATCACTATTCCTGGTATAACCAGCTCCACCATGGCGTCCTGGTCTCCACGTCACTGAGGAAACGAGAACCACACTGACCAAGCCTCCACTTCTCACCATGAAGCTACAGGAGGGCGTAACCAAGGCCCTTGAGACGTGAGGCGTCAATCTGCAACATTGTGGGAATTGCGGGGTCGAAGTGGGCGAGCACCAGTGGTGTTGGTGGAGCCCGCTTCACTTTCTCGGAAGAATTTTGGAGGTCTGGCGATCATATCAAGGTATTCTTTGTGCTGAGAAGGGTGCGCAGTGTACTGGCAACTGATGCGATACTGGGAGTGAAGTCGGCCAGCTGGTTCACAAGACTTAAAAGGAAACGGAGATCAGTAATGTTGACAGGGACTGGGGAGTCTACTGTCCCCTTGACCTTAACAACGTCAGCAACTACTCCGCCAGCCGTGATGCCGTAACCACAGAACTCCTCAGAGTGACGTGCGGACACAAACCTACTACGGTTCATAGTGATCTTGTGTCTGCGGCATTGCTCCAGAATTGCACGGACACGTTGTAGGTGTTCGGCATAGGTCGAGTACTAAACGAGCACATCATCGGCTACTTTGGTAAGGTTGCCGATGTGTCCGGGGGCGATGTCATCTCGTCTGCAGAAATCGTCACCTGCTTAGACAACTCCCATGGGACTGTAATAGGCCCCTGTCTCATCAACAGAACGTATTATATAAATGGGTCAATACATCTGATATTATATTCAGATTCACCACCCTGTAACTTTCCACTGTCTATGAGTAAGACATGAGATTGACACGTGAGCGGGCAACTTACCCAAGAGGGCGAGACCCATAGCTCAGCATTTCTGTAAGCACGCACTGCGATGCCCCTAAGCTTCAGTAGCTCACCTCAACTCATATCGAAAGGACGTGACCAAACGTTTATCATACATAAACGCCGTCCCTTTCTCATTCACTCCTAGACAGTGAGACTTACGGTTGATATACACTCAGGAATTATATATACAACCTTTTATAATAAAACAAAGGAACTACCGTTTGGGTTTCGTTACTTAAAACCCAAATATAAATATGTGTGAACGGACTGGTTAATTGGACAAGCAGCCGATTCATATAGGTGGCAAGCTGTGTGTACGGATTCTTCAAACTGGTAGTCGTATCATCCGTCTGTGTCTTGTGAAAAACAAGAAACCACACAGCAGTGACACGTTACATAATCCGAGTGTTTAAAACTATATCCCGTATTGAGATGATATGTAGTGAGCACTCCTTATCTCTGTCACATACAAATACGTGCAGAATTCGTAATATACAAATATTACAGCCTGTTGGTACATATCCAGATTGAGCCGGTTGAGATAGACTCCACTCAGCATTCCCTAGACATTACAGTGTTGCAGTGTTGAACAACAGTTTCGTAACCTGGAATTCAATTGGTATTTCACTAGCAGCTGAGCAGTATTGTTGTGTCGTCAGCGCGAATTACGAATTCCGGTGTCAACATACAGATCTCCATATATACGTGGACTGTGAAGAATTGGCACACGGCAGTTTTCGCCAGCGAACCAGCACGACCAGTGTGATAACCAATCATCAGTTTTCTGATCGCCGGAGGAGGAACTCACCTAAATCAAGTGGACTCGTCTCTCACCAAAGCAGAAGCGTCATCTCGTTGCCAAGGAAACCAGCAGCAGCGCACGCATCCTAGGAAGAGGCCCCGCCCACACTCCACTCAGAACTCTTGAAGGATCACTTCTCTATACAGACGTTACACCCTGTATAAATAGGTATTTAAATTACATAATTCTACACACATGAACACATTCGAGAGATATCTTCACACCGATAGGTTCGTCGGATAGGATTATTTCAATGATAAAGTGTCGAATGTAAGATTAATGTATTGAAATCCTATAATTTACAGTAGTTTGTAAGTGTCTGTCTTCTTATTGATAGTTTAATAATTAACTACACTTCATATTCATTTGTCTTGTAAATGAGAGGCAAGTGATCTACTTACTGTTAAGTATTCATTGACCCAAGGGGGCTAATAGATAATTTCTAAGTTTCCCATGTCTAATGTAGATGAAATCGAACGCCTAGCGCAACTGTTTGCGGATAACCAACTCATCAATCATCAAGCCCAGACTGACATAGATTGTGAGTATGGAACACAGTTAAATGAGTCAGTAGGAAGTAGTGAGAAAGTTATAGACGAATCATTTGACGACTTAAACCGTCGTACCCTACGGTCTGGTAATCACTATAGTACCTCACCTAAGTATACTAAAGCAGTTACCCCTGTTACAGGTGATAGTGTGTCTGTTGCTAAATCGGTAACAACCTTATTAACCCAGCCTTCTGTTAAGAGTAAGAATACTAACTTGCTTAATAACACTAAAATGGCATCTTCTAACCCTCACACCAGTACTACTATCACA